CCCCACAATCGAGAGGTGCGTAAACCGTCTGTCTCTAGTCTGTGGTAGAAGCGCTCCTTACGCAGAATCACGTCGGGGATAATTGGTAGAAAGAGCCCACGCCAAAACCTTTTCGGTTCTGGCCGCGTCGCCCGCACCCGGACAGAACGCCCAGTCATTACATCTGTCTTTGGGCCAGCTTGCAGTCTCTATGCAGCGACATTGACCGGGGGTTCTCGACTCGGTTGAAGACGGGTAATGTGGACGCATGTTCGTAGTGTGAGCCAGTGTGAGGTGTGCCCTGGCTCCGGAGGTCGGCGGCTTGCAACTGCACTCTACAGAGTTTCCTGATCAGATTCCGGTCTGTGAGCAGGTGAAAGCCCGCTCCGTTATCCTACCTCCAATTTGTGAGGTTCCCAATTCGTGCGTCAGGCTGCCCGCGGCTGCCGCCATCTCTTCTCTTCTAATAAAGCCTCGTGGCCTCCCCCTCCTCCGTCAGTGCCTTCTTCACTGACTGCGGCATTTGCTTCCTCCTGCGTTCGACCTGTGTGGTTGCTGTGGAAGCTATCCCCCTGCCGCATTTCCATCTGCCTGCGCTCCAACACTGGGTTTGCTGTGGAAGGAAGCGTTCCACTGCCGCATTTGAATCTGCCTTCGTTCGAGCCGTGGGTTTATCCACTGCCGCATTTGCATCTGCATGCGTTCGAACGGCGGGTTTGGTGCGGAAGCTGCCCGTTTGTCTCTTCTTCATCTCTTTCCTCACTCCCTGTCGCCTTTGACTGGGTCTGGATCGCTTGTTTGGACAACAAACTCTTCGTTTCTTCGTGCCTGCCTGAGTTAGCTGCATTGTCCTCGCCACTTACCTTGCCGTCTGCCCACCTGTCCCTCTCAGCAGCCTTCTTGCTCAGCCGCCACTCTCAGCGGTCTTCTTGCCCACCTACCCCTCTCAGCAGCCTGCTTACCAACCTCTCCCTCTTAGCAGCTTTCTTGCCCAGCTGCCTTCTTGCCCACCTCCCCCTATAAGCAGCCTTCTGGCCACACACACACACACACACACACACACACACACACACACACACACACACACACACACAGAGGTGACAATGGAGAGGAAAGGAATTTCGTTCTCTCCTGTGATGACAGGTGTTGTTGTGGTGATGGTGATGTGCTCGATGGCCATCTTGGCGATGGCTGACGTCCAGGAGAAGACGAAGGAGGAGGTCGTGGGGGAGCAAGGGGAGGTAGCAGACGTATCTGGGGAAAGGGGGTCGGCGATGGCACGCTCTCTCGCTGGGCGCTGCCGCCCTGCCTGCCGATATGGATTATCTTGCTGCGGAGGTGTGTGCCGTCCATCCTGCCGACCCTCAGGCGGCGGATGTGGACGTGGTTGTCCTTACGGTCGGGCCTGCTGCGGCAGCTCGTGCGTGAGTGTCAGAACCGACTCCCGGAACTGTGGGGGGTGTGGGAACAGCTGCGGATCGGGCCGTAGCTGCTGCAGGGGCAGCTGCGTTAGCGTGTCAAATAACAATTCTAATTGCGGAAGATGCGGAGCAACGTGCAATGGCAGGCGGAGCAGCTGCTGCGGTGGTTCGTGTGTAAACACCAGGTCGAATTCCCAAAACTGTGGAGGCTGCGGACGGAGCTGCCCAGGGGGACAAGTATGCATGCAAGGACAATGCCGGGGCTACTGATCATCGCCCGCTCTCTGCCTCTGCCAGTCTGTCTGGACTCTGGGAAGCTCGGCAGACCGGTCCTGGTCCTGGTGGCGGTGTCTGTTTCGAAGGTCTTCAGCGACCGGTCATGGTGTGGAGCGACCCGTCATGATGTGCAGCGACCGGTCGCGGTGTGCAACGACCACCGCCGACCAGTGACGGGGTCAAGTTACCGGTCCTGGTGGTGCAACGACTGGTCACGGTGTACAGCGACCGTTCACGCAACCTGCATTATCTCTCTCCTCGCGATGGCTTCCTGCTCGATCGCCATAGCATGCTACACTCTTCACCCGAATACCGTCATTATAGCTGTAGCTGTATTTGGGGCAACTTTGCGTCTAGATACAGTGATAATGACCGTACGTTCTATTCGTCGAAGACTGTAGCGTATGCAGATGTACCACCGTGTTGTATTCGAATACAAACAGCAAGCTTTGACTTTTATGTCGGAGGACAAAATCAAGATCCACGTCATCCTCTCCATCGCCATAGCCATTGCCATCACCACAGCTATAGCCATCGCCATAGCCATAGCCATAGCCATAGCCATAGCCATACCCATAGCTACCGCCATAGCCATACCCATAGCCATCGCCATAGCCATAGCCATAGCCATAGCCGCTGAGTGGCCAAATGCGCGTGCTTGGCTGTTTCTCTCCTATCTGTTTGACTGCTTGCTCCCTTCTTTCGCGAGAAGGGATTCAAGATTATATTGTCCTTAGTACTCCTTACCGTAGTTATAGTTTCCCGAGAACGAAGGGGAGAAGAGGAAGATGGCGACTGACCGTTTTCCTCTCTTTCTACCAATCTTCCTCGTGTTTTTTTTCCATCTCTTCCTCTTTTTTTTTTCACCATCTTCCTTTTTTATCCTTTCTCCCTGTCGTAGCAGTGGTGCAAGGCAGCACTGCAGAGAGGGAGAAAAAAACAAAAAGAAAAAAGAGAAATAAAAATAATTCAATAGAGTAATAAAAAAAGAGGTAAGTTCGCGGCTCGACGTACAAACCTCTTCGTCTGGTACCTGCCAGTGCTTGCATTGCGGAAGTGAATGATCCCATCCTAATTCACAGCTCATTAAGATAACGTATAATGGACGGGGTATTTTATCAAGTTGTCATTCATAGTGGCTGGATACTTGGGAGAGTAGGGTTGTAATTTTTAAGCATTTTTTTTCCCCTTCCCCCTCGGTGAGACTGTTGTACTGCGGGCTGACTGTGGACGGCGGCATTGAGAAAATGCCGGCCCGCCATCTACGACAGAGCTTCAACAGAAATTTGACTCTCGACGACTCTTAGACTCGGCCAAGCTTCGTTGGTTCGATGAAATTCGAAGTATTAGACCCTTCCATAGGGGTCGAATAACTGACGAAGTGCTGGGCGTGTCGTTCGGCTCAGTGCTCACCCTTCGGGAAACATGCCTACCCGTACGGCGTACGCCGAAGCAGCGCAATTGGGTGGGCAATCTATCTGCCTGATTGCTGCCTGATCCGATTGCTGCCTGGACTCCCCTGGAGCAAGAATGCTTGATCTGTCTTGCAGTGGTCATTCATGCAGCAATCAGTCAGATAGATTCGACCCTTGAATGAAGCGGCGATTCGACAAAGTGAGAAGATTCGACTCTTGAAGAAGGCGGCCATGGCAAAGTGCCGAGCGCCGGTGACCTCACAGCTGCGGCAATATATATATATATATATGCCTACGCCGAAGCAGCGAGGTTGGCCTGGATGGATGGGCCATCTATGGGACTGAATGCCGCCAGAGAAAGAATGCTGGATAGATAGCTCGCTGAGTGAGAAATCTGTGACAAGTACAGAGAGGCAACGGCGGTGGAGGCAGCTCCTACTCAAAGGAGGATCTCTCACAACGACTTTCTCTCTCGACGGAGCTGTGGACGTAACGGCGATCACATATATGCACGTCGAGGTGGAATTCCGTCTAAATACCTCCAGATAAGTTGCGTGTGTGAGTATGTACTCAGTTGGACAGGTACTCAGTATCCTTTACCGGTAGCCCGAGAAGTTACGACCGGTGTGATTACTATGTGGGTAGGGAGTTGCATGAGATCACGTATAGGTTATGCAGCATTGGACTGAGTCGAAATGAGGAGAACAATGCAGTAATAGTT